TCCTGTAAGTGCCTGGACTAGTCCCCTTGCGTCTCTTATACAGATACATATACAAGAATTGGGGGAGCACTCGGAGAATGTGGGACAATGGGTTCAACTCAAGAGCCTTAACTTACGAATTATGTCTCCAAAGACACCCCTCTTTATTTCCCTCAAATAAAGTAACATTTATCAGTCCCAGGGATTTGATGCGATCTATTTGACTGGCCTTCATTCAACCTAGTAAATAAATAAATATCAACACCCCTCCCAGCCCCACTCCCTAGTTGGTTGAACAAGCTCACAGTGTTTCTAAGGCTGCAAATCTTTACAGCAGTAAACTGACACATCTCTCTCACACAGAGCCATGGGTGGGTGTGAACTGCCAATCTTTTTGGTTAGCAGCCAACTGCTCTAAGGGGTGCACAAGCAGGCCTCCTGATCACCTGTGTTCCTAGAGGAAAAGGCGGTGACAGGGACGCCAGGGGATCCTGTGCCAGCACAGAGCTGATAAGCTCTAAGAGGCCTAATGGGAACAATCAGAGCAATACAATTCAACGCCCTGATTAACACATAAACACCTCCTCCCCCCAACCCCCACCCACCCTGAAACCCACCCTCCCTATACTTTCCTTCCAAGATGTTTGCTGGCAAAACCCAGGATTTTAAAATATAATCCTATCTAAGGAGATGCAGCTGTTGCTCTGTGTAAAATGCTCGAGGGTGCAGATGCTCCAAAGGAAATCCATAAACTATAGAAATGAGCTTTCATGGAGAAGCTCAGACACCAGTAAAGGGAAGAGATGGGCAAATGACTTCGGAAGATAATTACCCACTTCCCAGTACTCTAGGAACAGCACTGTGATAGTCGGCATGCATATGCCGAAGCGGAAATGTGAAGGATGCGGACTATAAGAAAGGACCAATATTTAGATTTCCTTTTTGGTTTTCCAGGTGAAAGTTGAATTTAAACAGCAGGCTGGCCAGGAGAGAAAATGGAAAGAATACCTGTGAGAAACCAAGACCCAAATTCACTGCCATGTAGTCAATTTTGTATTCACCGCAACCCTTTAGGACCCAGTAGAATTGTCCCTGAGAGTTTCTGAGGCTGCAAATCCTTACAGGAGTGGAAAGCTTCCTCTTTTTCCTGTGGGACTCCCATTTGTCTGGGAGGGTTCAAATTGCTGATGTTGCTGTGGGCAGCCAATGAACACCCCACTACGGTACCACGGCTCCTCATGAATTAGTTATCTTTACCATTGCCAAACTCCATGGGTAGAACTCTGAGTTACAGTTGACTGGTCACCCCTGTTACTTTCTACCTGATACAGTTTGATTTATTATCCGACAGCTAGGAATAAGTAATAAGATCCAAGACTTCAAACAGCAGCATACTATTAACATCTCTTAAGAGGGAACAACAGGAAACACATCCTTTTCGTTTTAACTTTATTATGGAAATCAAGCATTTTATAGCTATTGATACAATCTTGTTTTGAGACAAGGGAGAACGTGCTGGGAGGGAAGTTCTCTCACAATCTTGTTTTGAGACAAGGGAGAACGTGCTGGGAGGGAAGTTCTCTCGCTTTCCCTAAAGGAGGAAACTTTGAACAATAATAGTCTGTAACCGTTTCACAAGGGCTTCCTCACACTCTAGTTTATTCCGAACTGGGGCATCTTTCCCCTAAATGCAAAGCAAGGGTATCTTGCTCAGCGCGTTAAAAGAGGTGCCAGATAAGCACGTTCATTTTCAGATTTTGTTTATAGCTTCCTAGAAGGCTTTCCAAAGGCTCTCCTGAAGGGAACCTAGAGGGCTCGTCTCTAAAAACAAAGAAATACAAATGCTACTTCCTCAAGTCAACCTGGCAAGCACATAATGGAGACAGGCTTGGTGTGAGCTTCTGTCGTTTATAGAAAAGCCATTTCCCCACACTGGTAAAGGTTATTAAAACACGGCAGAGCCTCCGGTCAGCACCCAATCTGTTGGCGTCTGGAGTCACTGGTGAACAATTTCATTTCCAGAACACTCGCTCCCTTCCCCCCATCCACCTCTTGCTTCTCTCATCACCTCTTCCCCTTTTGCAGTGCACCCTTTGCCAGACCGCAGAGAAAGCTCATACTAAGGTGGCAAACCACTGTTGAACAATTACAGGCTTCCGTGGATAACTGGGGTCATTCTGCACATTGGCACAGAATGTCTCTACTCTCTGTATGGAAACGCAAAGGAAGGCACGTTTTCCGGTGGATTTTGAGAGAGTTTCTATTTTCAAAGGCAACGGGCCAACACCACGATTGGCCCTAATTGCCTCTCTTGTTGGCAGTCTCTGGAGAGGGGACAGGGCATGAATGAGCCAGGCAGACACAAACTCCTCATTACTAGCTGGGCCTCCATGAGTCTGGGCTGAAGCACACAGGGGAATGGTGTGTACTCAAAAGGCCCTAGCACTACCTGTCTTATAGGTAAACAAGATGCCAGCTGAGGACTTTCTATTTAGTCTCCTCACTGGAATAACCTGAATTGATTAAATGTAAGAATAACAAAGTGGAAGCGTAGTAGTCGGAATGAGAGGAAGCTATCTTTGGTTAAGAGAACTGAGAAAAATAACTTGCACTGTTGTAGCTCAGGAGCTGAGAGTGTCTCTCTAGCTTGAAAGGTGAGATCGGAAGTCTCATTTTCTCTGAGGATCAAGATCCTGTCGCCCTTTCTTTTTTATATCCCATTCTGAAAACAATGTTTATTCCATGTTGAAATTGCTTTTTGGGAAACAAAGGCAAAAGAAAACTACATGAAACTCACAGAAGCCAAATAAACTTATATTTTTAAAGGAGCATGTTTATGCACTCAAGGTCTAAAGTAGGATCCATTTGAGCAAGATAACTCACCTTTAAGTTTAAAGTCAATGTTCATGAATTCATATTACATAATTTGATCCATGAATGAGAGGGAAGAGAACACATCACAAATTCTGTGTGCAAAAGCATTCCAAATGATGGAGTACTGTCCACCTCAAGAACTGAACTCGTGGACTTTGAGTCCAGTCTGACTCACAGCAAGCCTATAAGACAGGGGAGAGCAGCACTTGCGGGTTTCTGAGACAGTAACTCTTCATTGGAGTAAAAGCCTCATCTTTCTTCCAAGGAGTTACCCTTGGTTTTGAACTCCTATTCTTGGGGTTAGCAGACCAATGATTAACCCACTACACCACCAGGGCTCCTTCTCATCCAATTGTGGAATATACATTATGTATTCCCCCCAGGAAGCAAAAGGGCAAATACCCGTGCCTGGAATCAGGCGTCTCTCCAGAGTCTAAATTATTTTCATAGAGAATGGTATTACAGACTAAAATATGTGCTGAATATGTTCATTGATACTGAGAAGTGTTCGATTTTAGATCCTCTCCGATAGAGCAAAAGACAGATGAGGGTAAGTCTGTGGTGTTTTCCCACATATCCATTTGTCCATGTAGTGATGTGTATCTGTACAACTAAATGGGAACTCATCTTGTCGTCTCCATCTGCCACCCAGGGCCACGTGCATCATGCTCGCCTTCCTTCCTTCCGGTGACCTCTGACACCAACATGCCTACCATCCATTCATACCATTGTTCAATCCCACTAAATACGCACGGTTGTTTCAGACTGGTTAACCTTAGCCTCATAGAAAATAAGTTTACCAAGCAGAGTACAGTGTTTATGTATACCTCCTTTTGCCTTTCATATTTAGTCCTCAGCTCACCGCCCAGGTTCCTTACGTCAGCACATTTCCTCAGATCTCCTTCAGTGAGGTTGTGAGGTGTCTGTCATGAAGCTAGCCTCTGTCAGTTTGTAGCTCTTCCTGAATCTGCCTGACCTTCTAAATTATTTTTGTAAATGCAAATACATGAAGGTTTCCTCCTTGTGTTGAAATTCTATAGACTTTGATAAACATATATTTCATATATCCACTGTTATCAGACAGCGTGATTTCATGGTCTTAAAAATCACTATTCTTCAACTGCACCTATTCAGATTTTTCCCCTCCCTAAGTCCCAATTGACCATATTTATAGTTCTGCCTTTTTCAGTCATCATATAAGTGGAACCATAAAGTGTGTAGTTTTCTCAGACTGGCTTCTTTCACCTTGTACTTTGCATTTACACCTCCTCCATATCTTTTTTCTGACTTGAGAGCTCATTTACTTTTACTGATGAATAGTATTCCATTACATGGATGTATTTGTTCGTTTATCCATTCCCCTATGGAAAGACATACTGGTTGCTTTGAGTTCTTGGAGACTAAGGAGTTATAAAGACGCAGAAAGATTTTGTGTGGACATAAGTTTTCAAAAAAGTTAGATAATGACTAGGAGTGTCATTGTTGGATTTTATAAGGCTATATTTAGCTTTCAAGAATAAAAGGAGAGATGTTTTGACCAGGTACAAAATGAGAATTGAGAGCTGGATGGCCAATATCCCACTGAGAACTATATGGACACCCCTACTGTAATCTTGGAAAGGTCCTGGAAGTATTTACCTAAAAATGTGGTGGAAAGGAATGAGCTTTGAAAAGGGGCGAATAGAAATCTCCCACTAGCCCTCTCATACTAAGACAAGGGCCGACTCAGTTCCTGCAGGGTTTCACAAGGATCTACCCATTTCAGTCTCCCAGGCAGCTTCCTTTCTATACAGCCATCCTTTCAGAAGGCTTGTGATGGTCTCAACCTTTTATAATGCTGAAGTTTCCTATTTATTGTATGTATCAGATAATATGAAGCAAAGTGAAAAAGAACTCATATAGCATATTCTGTGAATTTTAGAAAGCCGCCTTACACCCAAACTAGCTGCAAACTCATGTTCACATTGTTATTTTTTCAGCTGATAAGATTAAATAACATTGTGGAGCTTGGATATAAACAATGTTATCCCAACAAGCCAAACACATAAGTATTCCTTGGTCTTGAATTGTCCCAAAGTCATACTCTTAAAGATATGTGAGAATATCTGTTCATATGCTTCTTAATTTAGAAAGGGTAGTGTGTAAAATAAAAGGGTGTCTGTCATTAAGTGGTAATGCAGGGCATTTCTACTGTTCTACGTGAAGAATCAACATCAAGAGATTTTGGAAGCATAATTTTTGTTACCTGAGCTGCTAGTGATCATTGGTCCCAGCGCCCTAAATTGGTGAAGGAATAGAATAAACTCTTTAAAAAAAGAAATGGCAAGGTGTACATAAGTGTGTGCAACCCTGAGGTGGAGTAGAGGCAGCTTTAGGATTCCCCCAAAAGAAAATACAATAGGAATCTGTGTCTTTTCTATTGGGAGGGTGAACCAAATGATACATGCACTGTAGATTTGAGAAAATAAGCAACAAAAGTCAACATAAATATTGCTGAAGGAAATCCTACAGTGTGCTCAAAAATTTGCTAAATCATTTCCATATATTCTAGCACTTCATTTTCTCAGCAACCGTATGAGGTAAACATCATTATCAATTTACAGATGCAGAAATTGACTTTAAAAGAAGTTGAAGGACTTTCCAAAAGCTTCCTATATTGATGAGTATGGAAGGAGTTACGAGCTCTGTTCGTTCAGACACCAACATCTGATATATTTCTGCATCTAGCTCAATACACGTGTCAAGAATCTCCTCTATTCTGTTAACCGAAAGGAACAGCGCAGTATAATGGCTCATCTAATTCTGTAACTGTCTTCATACTACTGTACGGAGGCGAGAGTTAATCTACTGAAACACCCTTCATCTAGACAAAAAGCATCTACATGAGAATTGAAAACACTGTGATGCTTCATAACGTATAATTCAAGTCCGACCCATGTCAAAATTTTCTGGGGTGAAGATTGTAATGGTGATTTCTGAGCTACAGGTGTCTGCTTGTTTTGTTCACCTGGGAGCTGACAGGAGCCCTGCGCGTGTCGTGGTTGTGAGTTGGGCTGCTCACCGCAGGGTCAGCAGGTTGAAACCACCAGCAGCGCCATGGGACATTCTAG